TGTGTATGTGTGTGTGTATATATGTGTATGTGTGTATATGGGTGTATATGTGTGTGTGTGTGTGTGTCTGTATATGTGTGTGTGTGTGTGTGTATGTATGTGTATGTGTATGTATATGTGTGTATATATGTATATGTGTATGTATATATTTATCAGTCTGGCGAGTAAACAAAAAAATTTACTAGCCAATGGCGATTCAATTGCCAAGGTGTTCGTAGAGGGCTGAAACATTACCTAATGATTAACAGATCGTTATTCAATGTAAATTGAAATGCTTATGAATGTCATTAAACTTTCAATTAATATGATCATGTACTTGATCATGGAATTATTTTGACAGATGGTTTACAGTGATTAAAGCCTCGTTCAGACTGTCAGCCCAAATCCGATTTTTGTGCAATTCCGATTGAAATCTGATCATATTTAAATAGTCTGAACGAACTACATGAAATCCGATTTTTGCAAATCCGTTTCGAGCTACATTCATATGTGGTTTGGAATCCTATTCAAATCGCATTTCTGGAAATGTAAACACATCAGACGATTTTTAAAAAAACATGCTGAACATCTTTGCAGAAACAAGCTTGTGTTGTGAAGTGCAAGTCAAGCAGAAAAACACAATATACTGCTAGTATACGTACTCCTTTGAGTTTTGAAAGTAGCCGAGACAGCAGCACGGAATAAAGCCGCACATTCCAGCTTCCTGCGTTTCTGCCGCTGCCTAAATTTACTAGCCAATGGCGATTCAATTGCCAAGGTGTTCGTAGAGGGCTGAAACATTACCTAATGATTAACAGATCGTTATTCAATGTAAATTGAAATGCTTATGAATGTCATTAAACTTTCAATTAATATGATCATGTACTTGATCATGGAATTATTTTGACAGATGGTTTACAGTGATTAAAGCCTCGTTCAGACTGTCAGCCCAAATCCGATTTTTGTGCAATTCCGATTGAAATCTGATCATATTTAAATAGTCTGAACGAACTACATGAAATCCGATTTTTGCAAATCCGTTTCGAGCTACATAATGTGGTTTGGAATCCTATTTAAATCGCATTCCTGGATATCCATTTCACTCTGACCGGTCAGATCAGATTTAGCCTAGCTTTTTCACGTTTTCACGCCACTAAAACGTAAAAACGTCAAACGTTTTTGTAGAAAACATAAGTCTTTACAGAAACAAGCTTGTGTTGTTGCGAACTGAGTTTTGAAACCAGCAGAGACGGCAGCACGGAATAAAGCCGCACATTCCAGCTTCCTGCGTTTCTGCCGCTGCCTCATAAGACGAAATCCATAATAATAATAATAATCCAGCGTGACGGCAACATGTTGTCATGTCGTAAGACAACATCTGTATTGCAAACTGTATTGCTGTTATTGTTGTTTTTAGCGTTGGCATAACAATGCAACGGCATTGCCATAGAAACCAACGCACATTCCGTAAAACGAAAGAGCGCTTATGGACACACAAATCGGATATGAACAGTTGCGATACACTGTGTGGACAGTCAGTTATTCAAATCAGATTCCATCCGGATATGCACAAAATCGGGTTTGGGCTGACAGTCTGAACGAGGCTTAAAAGTTTAATTAATAAATCTTTAAAAAACATATAATGCTTAACGGATCATTAGTTAATGCTTACAAATGTCATTAAACTTTCAGTTCTTACAAGCATGCAGTTTTTAAAAATCTACAAATTCTGACAAATTAAACAATGATTAAAAGCTTGTTTGTTAATGTACTGTTGAATGCTCATTAAACTTCATTTTCTTATATTATCTGCTGCTCTTTTTTACGTTAACAAATGTTGTGAAAAAAAATTGCTTAGTAATTTTAAGCACTTTACAAACTTTTCATGTTAACATTATTTGTTAACTCATAATCACAGTTTGTAAAGGTAGTATAATTGGACTCTGTTGTGTAGACTTTATTTATCATTTTTATTATTCATTTTTTATCTTTTATTATCATTTATTAATGATTTGTTCATGTTTTTGCAGTACCCAATCTAAAGACTATTCATAATTTGTAAATGTTTATAAATGTTTACTAATCATTAGTACTTTTTATGAGCAGTTATCTCAATGGCAAAATGTGTCCCAAATGAACTGAATTCACCCTATTTATGCATGTGTACAAATCATTTATTAATAATTCGTTCAGGTTTTTGCAGTATCCAATCTAAAGTTGAGACTATTCATCATTTGTAAATGTTTATGAACATTTACTATTCATTTAGTATCTTTATAGGCATTGGACTTTTAGCTGCTGGAACAACGTTTGTGTAAAGGGTGGTTAGTTAAGTTTAGCTAAAGACATCAAACACATTGTAATGTGGGTGCAAAACATGGATATTCCTTGAATCATACATCAACAGGAGAAAACAAATCATTTTTTTCATGAGAACTTCATTCATCAAAACAATGTAATATTAACAGATTGAATCGTGTTCCCTTATATTAAATTAACCCCTGTACACTTCTGACCACTTAACCAACCTTTAAAGCTACCCATACTACCCCAAACATGTCCCTAACCTTACCCGTATCACACCTCAATAGCAGCAAAAATGTGCATTAACAAAAGCTTTTAATCATTGTGTAACATCTGTTAAAATCTTTTGTAGTGTACATTTAGTTAATACATTTGAATATGTATTAACTAACGATCCTTTAAGCATTATAATGTTTGTTAGTGATTTAATGAAATTATTATTACAAAGTGTTACTGCATTTTTGTTTCTCTTTGTTGTCTTTTCACAGGTTTACGATCAAGTAAGCCCTTGTTTGCCATCCAGAAAAGCTTTAAAGTGGAGAATGCAGGCGAGTTGCCATTGACTGTAGTATCCATGAACATTAATGGATATAAATGTCAAGGGTATGGCTTTGAGGTGCAACACTGCAGATCTTTCAGAGTGGACTACAACTCGTCCTCAGAAATCACAATTGCGTAAGTCTTAAGAGTGTTAATGTGAAAGTGCATGTGCCTGCTGATTTTCAGTTGTTTACGCTACTGTGCATACTATTCAATATCAGTATTTTAAGCCAAGTGCAGATCTTATTCCGTCCCTTTGTTTTTGAATACGATAGAGTTTTGAGATGATAGATTTCAAATGATAGTTTTACAAGTGACTTTAAGGTGTTACCTATGTTTCCTAATTCTTGCCCCTGCTGGGATATTTTATATCTACATCATCTGGTTCTATTGACGACCATTTAAGAAAAATAGCTGTGTATTCTGACGAACTAAAAATGTTTTGCAAGCAACCAGTTTATTTGCTAATATTACATTATTATATAAGCCGAGTCACTACCATTGGATGGGATTGCAAAACGATAGATTTCTCTAGGTATTAAATAGTCCTCCTTGGCTGATCATTTTTCATATATTTCATACAACTTTCATATAATCTAGATTCATCACATGTAAAGTAAAACATTTCAAACGTTTTTTTATTTTTTTTATTTTGATGATTAGAACTTACAGCTCATGAAAGTCAAAAATCCAGTATCTCAAAATATTAGAATATTTACATTTGAGTTTCATTAAATGACGATCCCTACTGTATAAATTCCGGGTATCTCTTGTTCTTTGAAACCACAATAATAGGGAAGACTGCTGACTTGACAATGGTCCAGAAGACGATCATTGACACCCTCCACAAAGAGGGTAAGTCACAGAAGGTCATTACTGAAAGTGGTGGCTGTATCAAAGCATATTAAATGCAAAATATTAAATGCAAATTATGCTTCCATCTGCTGACAAGCTTTATGGAGATGCTGATTTCCTTTTCCAGCAGACTTTAGCACCTGCCCACAGTGCCAAAACCACTTCCGAGTGGTTTGCTGAACATGATATTACTGTGCTTGATTGGCCAGCCAACATGCCTGACCTGAACCCCATATGGAATCTATGGGATATTTTCAAGAGAAAGATGAGAAACAGTCAATTCAACAATACAGACGAGCTGAAGGCTCAAAAGTGCCTCAGCAGTGCCGCAGGCTGATCGCTTCCAAGCTACACCTCACTGATGCGGTCATTTGTGCTAAAGAAGCCCCGACCAAGTATTGAGTGCAAAAATTAACATACTTTACAGAACTTGAACTTTTCTGTTTTGCAAAACCTTTTTTTGATTGATCTTAGGAAATATTCTAATATTTTGAGTAGGGCTGCCACTAATGACTATTTTTATTAATCTATCGACTAATTTATCGATTAACCTAAACGATTAATTTCCCACAAAAAAAACCCCTACAATTTTGCTTAAGAATATTTTTTTTAACTATATTTCATTAAACCAAATTCAATCCAAAAGTAAAAAAGTAAAGTGCAACATAAAGTGCAAGAAGCAAGTGTCCATCTCATAGTCCAAATCACTGAAATCAAAGTTCAGTATTATAGTGTAAGAATGACAACATATCCACGTGTTGTAGTCTACTACTAATAAAATTATAATCAAAAAACACTTTTTAAAGGAGTATTTACCAGAAATAATATTTACCAGAATTTGGTTAGGAGAAAAATGTTAAATGTGCAGTATTTCTGAAAAAAAAAACTTAAAAAAATAAAATAAAATAAATTAATTGGAGATGCTTTTGATTATTAAAATTTAATGGAACAATTAAAATGGCATCCAGAAAATAATGGAAAACAGAATTTGGTAAAGATAAAACTGTAAAACTCAATTAATTAGAGACAGGCTTTTTGATTAATAAAATTTAATTTAACCATAAAAAAAATTAATGAATTTGGAAATAAAACAATTAATAAAATAATTTCATAGTGCCCTATAATTATAATAAATTTTTTTGTGGTAATAAAATAGATGTAACTGAACAATAGCCTTTAAAATTACTTAAAATAATAACAGTTCCTGTGGAACTACTGTGAACGGAGCCGCCGTGACACGCATGTACTTACACGCATGTACACGTATGTAAATAATTAAAGCGCATATACTGTATTAGAACTGCATTGCATATAATTATTTAATTAAATCGTAGTGTTTGTGAATTCACAA